AAGACCTGAGAGGGTTGCAGATTGTCACAGCCTTGCAGCGTAAGAGGGGGCCCAGATGGGTATGTCATGAGGCTCAGTGGTACCTGACTTCCAGGTTGCAACCTGAGAAAGTCCATCACACCCATCCAATGAACAGGCACTGTTAGACCATGAACCCATTTCTCTCTTGTCATTCACTCAGTTACTGAGGGAGAGACTGTGGTTACAGCAGGGAATTCAGAGTGATTAATTCTGTCCATCATTTTCTGTGTGACTTTGGCTAAATCACATCTCCCTGTTCCTCAGTTTACCTATCTGTATAATGGGGTTATGTTCATAGTGACTTTCCTTTGCTTGGTGTTTTGAAGATCCTTCAATTAAAGGTACTGCACAGTATGATGATAGTTACTGATGAGAATTACTGATCCCTTAATGACAGCCCAGGGTGCCTCCAGAAAGTGTTCGTGTTTCCTCTCAGTTGTCTCCCTCCAGATCTGTCTATCTACTATCTACCCAGTCATCCTGGGCATTTACAGGGTGTTAGATCAAATGGAGATCTAGATGTTATCCCTAGTTTTCTTGCTAATCAACTGTAATTTTTAAATATACACAAATACACACAACAGCCAATTCCTTGCTATCTCAGCACAGAGCCCAAGAGTTCTCACCTCCCTTTGGAAAGGTATCTTAGTTACTGTTTACTCCTAATGCTGGATAATTAGCACAGAAGCAGAGACAGGCTTGTCTCCAGCCTGTTTTCATTCAGATGCTGCTCCTCCCCTAGAGGCTGAGAAAATCCCACTGGGACTGCACAGAGCTCTATTATATACAGTGAACATCCCTGTGTGGACTCTCCGTGTGGGATGTTGCTACAGATGCTGCAGTGAGAGAGGTGTGAGACACGGCTACCTGAGACCAATTCCCAGGGAAGACGCTTCCATCTCCAAATTCACAGGTACGCATCTTTTGCTGAGAAGCTCACCTGTACGACAAACCCAGGACAACATGGGAATGATGGGCTAGAGAGCAAGTCTGGGGTCCTTTCCAATCTGCACAGCAGTTGAACAGCCAAGAGTTCTTGCCACAGATGATGAATTTGCTCCAGTATCACTGGCCAAAATGTCACTTTTCTCTATGCACCCCTGCCCATCCCTGCTCATGGCCTGCAGCTCCGAAGTGGCTGCATTTCAGTGGCAGAGCGGATCCTTCAGGATGAAAGGTTTTAAGAGATATACAATACAAGGCCAAATTCTGAGGCTGGGACACATACTTTGCTCAGACCCCACTAAGGCAAAACTCCCTGTGGAATATGAACTCAGTAAAGAGTTCAGGAGCCATCTGTGTGTTAATGCACAGACACTGTCAACACCTCTTCCACTTAAGGGTCTGACTGTGAATTGGGGGCTGTTACCTGAATTTTATCAGCTGGAATGCCTGGAGCTGCTAGGGCTCCTCACTGAATTTTTCAACATGGGTAAGACATATTTTCTCCAAGCTTCATTGAAGAAATTGGCTGAACTGTTATGCCATAAACTTTCAAAGACAATTCAGCTGGAAGCAGACCCCCAGCATGGGAAATTTCAGTCCAAACACCTACAATTTGGCAAACTTCCAAGCAACTGAAAATGAGGTCTTCCTATTAAAGTGTGTCTAAGTCATTGAAGACTAAGGGATATCCACAGTTCCACAGTCCTCCTCTTCTTACAGTTAGGAAGTTTTTCCTGAAATTTAATTTAATTCTGTTATGCTGGAAGTTTGAACACACTGCCTCTTTTCCTGTCCTCTGGTAAGACAGAACAGCTTTCCTCCACCTCTTAATGGCAGCCTTTCAAGTATTTGAAGAACGCTATCATGCCCCCCCTTAATATCCTCTTTTCCAAACTGAACATACCCCATTCCTTCAGCCTTTGGTCGTATGGCTTGTGTTCTATCCCTTTAGTCATTTTGTCACTCACCTCTGGATCCTTTCCATCCATTGGTGACCATAATTGGACACAGTACTCCAGCTAAGGCCAAACCAGTGCTTTGTAGAGAAATACTATCACATACCGCGACTTGAATGCCATGCCTCTGCTAATACAACCTAATGTTGCATTTGCCTATTTTGAAACAAACCAACAAAAAAAAAAAAAATAGACTAGCAGGTTTGGAAGGGACCTCTGGAGGTCATCTAGTCCAACCTGCTGCTCAAAGCAGGACCAATCCCCAATTTTTTCCCCAGATCCCTAAATGGCCCCCTCAAGGATTGAACTCACAACCCTGGGTTTAGCAGGCCAAGGCTCACACTACTGAGCTATCCCTCCTCTCAAAAAGTCAAACACCTGAGAGAAACATCAATCTAACCCCGGTGTAGACATGAAGAGGTAGACTTAAGAATTCTTCCGTCCACCTAGCTAGCACTTCTTGGGGAGGTGGATTACCTATGCTGCTGGAAGGAGTCCTGCCTTTAGTGTAAGTAGTGTCTACACAGAAACACTAAATCAGCTCTGCTATAGCGTTTTAATTGTAGACAAGCCTGCAGGCAGATTTTGCAAAAAATTCAGTCTGGATCTGCCGACATGGAGAGTTGGAGAATCCACCACTTCCCTTCACAGTTTGTTCCAGCAGTTAACTACCCTCAGTGCTGAACATTTGGCCATTATTTCCAGCTGGAATTTGTCTGTGTTCTGCTTCTACCCCTTGGGCCTTGCTTTGCCTTTCTCCTCTATATTACAGAGTGCATCAGTACCCACGGTTATCTCGCCATGAAAGTGTCCGCTTGATCAGTTTTTTTGATAAGTTAAATAGATGAAATCCTTCAAGTTTCTCATGGTCCAGCTTTTTCTCCAGCCTCCAATCATTTTTGTGGCTCTTTTCGGCACCCTCTCCAATTTTTCAACATCCTTTTAAAATGTGGACCTCAGAAATTGATGCATGTGGTTTCACCAATGCCATGTACAGAGGTAAAATCCTTCTCCTGCTCCAACTCACCCTCCCCTGTTTATGCATCCAAGGATCGTATCAGCCCTTTTGGCCACAGCATCACACTGGGAGCTCACAAAGAGCTGGTTTTACACAATGACGTCTAAATCCTGTTCAGGATCCTTGCATTGCATAATACAGTGTCCAAGACTGCGGGTCAGGCCTGCATTTCCTGTTATGAGAGGATACGTTTGCATCTGACTGTATTAAAACATTGCGTTTGCATGGGACACTCTTACCAATGTTCCAGATCAGTCGGTATGCCTGCCCTGTCCTCCTCATTTTCATCACTCTGCCAATCTTTGGGTCATCTGAAAATTTTATCTGCAGTGATTTTCTGTGTCCTCTCAGATCATTGATGAAAATACTGCCTAGCATTGGGTCTAGAACTGATCCCTTCAGAATGCCACTAGAAACAGCCCCGTTCACTGACAATAGCCGATTAACAATTGATTTCTGAGATCTGTCAGTTCAACAGTTTTAGTCTATTTTATTTGTGCACGACTGATATTGTAGAGTGTTAATTATCTTATCTCAGAGTTTTCCCTGATATATCAAATGCCTCAGGAAAATCAAAGCTGATTACATCTGCATGGTTCCCTTGCTCAGTCAAATGTGTACTCTATTAAAGGGAGGAAATCAGGTTTATTTGATGAGACTGGGTTTGCATAAACAGTGTTGTTGAATGGCATTTCTTATATTATCAATTTTTTTTCTTGAACTAATTCCATACCAGCTTTTCCATTGCTTCCTAACCTTCGCAAATCTTTTTTTTTAAATAGTACCTTCATTTTTTTTAATACTTTACATGTAACAGAGGAATTTCCTTAAAACTTTTCTAGGATTCCTTTTGTTCTTAATATACTTAATAACCTCCTTTTTTGTAATCCTCAGCCTGCCAACTTTGGATTTTCACCTGATGTCTTCAGTGTCCCTTATCAGTTTTCATAACTTCTGTTATGAGTTGCTAGCTATTTTCCCTTTTCCCCATTGATATAAATATATCTTCCCCACCCTAATTACTGCATTCACTTTGCAACTGGACCTACTTTTTAGCCAAAGGTTTTCAGCATCTTGACGGAGCAATCATGCCTTTCTTGCTATCTCATGATCTCTTTTTAAAAAACACTCTCAATTTGCATTCACATTTTTTGTCTAATTATTTCCTTCCAATCAGTTTTGATGAGAGTTTTCCTCAGCTTTGGGGAATTAGCACTTTAAAAGCACTAAGTGTCTATAGAAAGTACTGATTTGGTGTTCTTCTCTGTTTCTCCATTTGAATGTAATCAGTTCCGTTCTTTATTTTGCTGTCCTCTATAATATGTTCCCCTTGTTTGTCTCTTCTCTAAACAGCCTCAGACTTTTCAGTCTGTCCACATATGGCAGCCTCCCTATTCTCAGAGCCTGTCTTGGAATCCCCTTTTTATTTGCTAGATCATTTATAGAGACCAGGTAACCAAAACTGAGCACATATCCAAAGCAGATTAGTTTCCATTGCATTCTGAAGGCATCCAGATATTGTTTTTATTTTGGCCACTGCTGTGAAGGAGCGGGTGTTTCTCCAGAGCTGTTATCAGTGATGCCCAGGCCCTTTCTCTGAGGTGTTTTCTAGTTGGGATGTTTCCAAGGTTTGGGGTTTTCTCTACTCTTATATTTTAAGCAACCAGATGACAAATGGGAACTCCCTACATGGATTCTCTAGCCTGGCTTTCATTGTGTTAAGGAACAATGATTGATAACCAATATTCACACTCGTGTTTCCTGTTGGTGCCTCTTAAGGTTTCCCCCACTAAGACATGTAAGAATTATTGATGCATGGAGCATCATCATATATTGAATTGGCATAAGAAGGGTCAGTTGTTCAAAATTCATTTATTTAAATAAGAAGAATGTCATTTCTCTGTGTATGAAGAGCAACCAATCTACTTCACTCACAAGAACAGTCTCCGCTAGTGTATGTAGTGTCTCATATTAACATTGTCTCTCCATCTAGGCATTTGTAAAGCGACCATCACCCTGCACCCTGGGGACATACAAGAAGTGACGGGAAACTACAGTGTATGCGGGAGACACCATTCTGCCTTAGAGTTGGACACCTTCTCCCCTACTCCATGTCAGATTCCAACACAACTGACTTCACAAACCCCTCCACCTTCATCCTGATGGGCATTCCTGGCCTGGAGGCTGCTCATGTCTGGATCTCCATCCCCTTCTGCACCATATACACCATAGCCATCTTGGGAAACGTCAGCATCTTGTTCATCGTGAAGATGGAGCCGAGCCTCCATGGGCCCATCTATTATTTCCTCTGCATGCTGTCTGTTACCGACCTGGTCCTGTCTACGTCCACCATGCCAAAAATGTTGAACATCTTCTGGTTCAATTCCACTGAGATAGATTTCAGTGCCTGCCTCACCCAGATGTACTTCATTCACTGTTTCTCAGCAATGGAGTCTGGGATCTTAGTGGCCATGGCTTTGGATCGCTACGTGGCCATCTGCCATCCCCTGAGACATTCTACCATCCTCACAAATTCTGTTGTGGCCAAGATTGGCCTGGCCATGGTGCTGCGCAGTAGCATACTTGCATTCCCCTATCCCTTCCTGGCAAGGTGTTGGCCATACTGTAGAACCAACATCATCCCCCACTCGTACTGTGAGCACATAGCTGTGGTGAATTTGGCTTGTGCCGACACCCGCCTCAGTAGTTATTATGGCCTCTTTATTCTATTCTCTGTGATCTGTCTGGATGTTTTTTTTATCACCGTGTCATATATCCAGATCCTCAGGGCCATCTTCAGCCTCCCCACAAAGGATGCCCGACTCAAGACTTTTGGGACCTGTGGCTCCCACCTTTGTGCCATCTTGGTTTTTTACATTCCAGATTTCTTCTCTTCCATCACACATCGGTTTGGCCACAATGTGCCCTTGCATTTCCTCATTCTCATGGCCAATGTGTACCTTTTGGTGCCCCCCTTGTTACACCCTATCATCTATGGTGTGAGGACCAAACAGATCCGGGAAAGGCTGCTCCGGCTCTTTCCTCATAAAGGGACCTAAAAGTTTTCTCCTCGTGATCGGGGTCTCAGGCTGAGCTCTGTGAAGAGCTGGCTGGTGATATGGTGCTGGGCCCCCTTCCCTGAATCACTTGTGGGAATCACTTGTGGGCCCCTTCCCAGAATCACTTGTGGGAATCAGTTGTGGGAATCACTTGTGGCAGTGGGAGAATTCTAGTTTGGATATTAGGAAAAAAGGTCAAACATTCCTTCAAAGCTTGTAACATCTTTACCCCTTACCCGCTTTCCCATTAAATCTTTCTCTTTTTTTACCATATTCCACAGTACTCATATCAGCACCCCTCTTAAGATACCCAGATTTCACTCCTTATGTTTCAAGGGTAATCTGAAATTGTTCCAAAATAATTTCTTTGAATTTACAATACTCTAAAGCATTCTCAATTGGCATTTTATTGAGTGTATACAGAACTTTATCAGTTAACTTTGCAACTAAAGTGTTCATCTTCTGGTCATCAGGAATCACACATAGCCTCTCAAAGATAGTGAATTATTCAGCAATATCAATGGCCTCATTGTATGCAGGACACAACTGTTCCAATTTGTGGATTTTTGGAGAGGTGGAAATTTGTGGAGGGTTCTGGTTCTGCTTGTCCAGGAAGTCCAACAGGTGTTTCTGTGCTCCATCTTTCTCCTTAATTTCTTGTTATTTTGGTTCCCTAGACCTACTCTTTTCAGCCTCCTCTCTGGCAGTCTCTGTCTTCTTTAACTTAAAAATTCACCTATGTGCTTTTTCTTTTTCTGCTGCCTGCAATTTGAATAGCTCCAGTTTTGAAATTGTTTGCTGCTTTCTCTCATTTTGTTGCTTTTTCTGTCCCTACTTCCCTTTCTGAAATAAGGAAACAGAAAATAAAAACAATGGTGACCTATTTGATCTTCAGCCACCACGCTTAACAACTCTGCACAAGTGTATGAAGTTCAAATTTCACTCAGAACAACAAGGTGTGCATTTCACACTGCTTGTAATGCCACTGTGATGGACTTCCTCAGGATGCAATCTGCACTGCTGATCCCTCTAGCATATCAGTCTGGGCCCCCTCCCCTCTCAGGCTATGAGAAGCTTCAGTCACCTACAGGTCCTGCACTTACAAAAACGTTCACAGGCAGGGACACACCCAGTTGAGTTACATGAATGCTTTCACCAGCAACCCGTGAACCCACTGTAGCAAAGCTCCAGTCAAGTACCCCCAGTTCACCAGCCTAGGACACAGAGCTGACTGTCTTGTCCTGCTCATAAGCCTGAATGGTAAGTTTATTACTCATCTGCCCCTTCCTCATTGTGGAGAGGACAATGCACCAGCCCCTGATCCTGAGCAGATTTCCCTTTATACTTCAAACAACACACTGGTTTAGGTTAAAAAAATAAAACAGATTTCAGAGGAACAGCCGTGTTAGTCTGTATTCGCAAAAAGAAAAGGAGTACTTGTGGCACCTTAGAGACTAACCAATTTATTTGAGCATGAGCTTTCGTGATCTGATGAAGAGAGCTGTAGCTCACGAAAGCTCATGCTCAAATAAATTGGTTAGTCTCTAAGGTGCCACAAGTACTCCTTTTCTTTTTGCGAAAACAGATTTATTAACTACAAGTAATAAGTGTTCAGATCAAAGAAGATTACCTAAGAAATAAAGCAAAATTGCAAACTGAGTTCTATAAACTAGACAGGATTTGAATCAATGAGTGTCTCACCCTGATGGTAGAAACAGTTCCCCAATCCTCCATACATGGGCCGGGATTTCTTCTTTCCAGCCTGGGACCACCTGCCCGGTCACAGTCTTTTCCCTCTAGCCATGCTTTCAGGTGTTCAGTTGTGGGGGACAGGGAGTGAGACCAAGTGGTGATGTCACTTTCCCTTTTATAGCTTCTGCCAGGTGGATGGAACCTCGTTTTTCAAAATAAAGCCCACAGCAGTTAGTGGAAACGTACAGGCACAAGATTGAGTCCAGAATCATCTGAGTTGGTTACGTGCTCTTGCATGCTTCAGTGAGTCATAGAAGTGAGTCATATTCTGGTCCATGGCCCATTGTGCTCATTAATGGGGTATGAATTTGAATAATCCATTCACAGTGTGCTGGCTAGACTGAATGTAAACTACATTTTGGGAATGACCACAGGAACAAACACATTTGAAATGTAGGTACATAGGTCATTTCAAATCCCAAAATGAGACATGCATACAAATATGATGGTCATATTCAGCAAACCATAACTTTTCCATTGACACCTCATAGGACATATTTTGTACATGAATTGTTGCAATTACATAACAGTGGTTAATATGGAGGTGCCAATATGTTGTTTTGGGGTACATAGTGTCACAGCAATATATCTATCAAATGGTATCATCTTGTCCAACGAGTGCTCGAAGCAGGACCAACTCTACCTAAATCATCCCAGCCGGGACTTTCTCGAGCTGTGCCTTATAAACCTCTAATGCTAGAGATTCCAACACTACCCTAGGTAACCCATTCCAGTACTTGAACACCCTCCCAGTGAAATAGTTTTTCCTAATATCCAACCTAGACCTCCCCCACAGCAACTTGACATCATTGCTTCTTGTTCTGTCATCTGCCACCATTCAGAACAGCCTAGCTCCATCCTGTTTGGAACCCCCTTTCAGGTAGTTGAAGGCTGCTATCAAATCCCTCCCTCACTCTTCTCTTCTACAGACCAAATAACCCCAGTTCCTTCAGCTTCTCCTTGTAAATCATGTGTCCCAACCCTCTAATCATTTTTGTTGCCTTCCGATGGACTGTCTCCAATTTGTTCACATCCCTTCTGTAGTGCAGGGACCAAAACTGGATGCAATACTCCAGATGTGGCCTCACCAGGGCTGAATAGAGGAGAATAATCACTTGCTTCGATCTACTGGCAATGCTTCTACTAATGCAGCTCAATATGCCTTTAGCCTTCTTGGCAACAAGGGCACACTGCTGACTTATGTCCAGCTTCTCATTTACTGTACTCCCCAGATTGGTTTCTGCAGAAGTGCCGCTTACCCAGTTGGTCCACAGCCTGTAGCAATGCATACAGGACTCTGCATTGTCCTTATTGAACATCATCAGATTTCTTTTGTCCCAATCCTCCAATGTATCTAGGTCACTCTGGACCTATCCCTACCCCCATCCCTACCTCTCCCCACAGATTAGTGTTGTCCACAAACGTGCTGATGGTGAAATCTATCCCATTATCCAGCTCATTGATGAAGATGAACAAAACAAGCCCCAGCACCGACCCTGGGACACTCTGCTTGATATAATCATCATCATACTTGACTTTTCTATTTTGGTGGAAACCAAAGGCTGGGTTGTTGCAAGCGAACTGTATTTTGCCTTCTGTGTAATCAGTAAAGCATTGTGAAAGCTGTTTTGTTGCTGGCTCAGTGAAACCAACTCTTAGAATAACCACCCATTTGAGTCAGCTCCATTCTTTGGTGTTTTCCCTAATGTACCGATCTCACTGTGGGCCCACCTGGAACCCCAGTCACAGGCTGCTAAAAAAATTCTTCTATTTTACGGAGAACAAGAGACACCCACATCCAGGTGAGCACAATACAACACCTGCACACCTACCTCAGTGACCATGAGAATGATCATACTGGATCATACCAAATGTCTATTTACCCCAGTATCCTGTCTTCTGACAGTGGCCAATTCCGGGTGCCATGGAGGGCATGAACAGAACAGGTAATGATCAAGTGATCCATCTGCCAGCACCCAATCCCACTTTTTGCAAACAGAGGCTAGGGAAAACACCTCTGCCCATCCTGGCTAATAGCCATTAATGGACCATTAATATGTCGAGTTCTTTTTGGAACCTTGTTATAGTCTTGGCCTTCACAACATCCTGTGGCAAAGAGTTCCAGAGATTGACTGTGAGTTGTGTGAAAAAATACTTCCTTTCATTTCTTTTAAACCAGCTACCTATTAATTTCATTGGGTGACACCTAGTTCTTGTGTTATGAGGAGGAGTAAATAACACTTCCTTATTCATTTTGTTTAAACCTTTCATGATTGTATAGACCTCTCTCATACCTCCCCTTACTCATCTGTTTTCCAAGCTGACAACTCCCAGTCTTGTAAACTGGAGTAATAGGAATAGGATGAAATTTAATAGTGAGAAGTGTAAGGTCATGCATTTAGGGATTAATAACAAGAATTTTAGTTATAAGCTAGGGACACATCAACTAGAAGTAACGGAGGAGGAAAAGGACCTTGGAGTATTGGTTGATCATAGGATGACTATGAGCTGCCAATGTGATATGGCTGTGAAAAAAGCTAATGTCATCTTGGGATGCATCAGGAGAGGTATTTCCAGTAGGGATAAGGAGGTTTTAGTACCGTTATATAAGGCACTGGTGAGACCTCACCTGGAATACTGTGTGCAGTTCTGGTCTCCCATGTTTAAGAAGGATGAATTCAAACTGGAACAGGTACAGAGAAGGGCTACTAGGATGATCCGAGGAATGGAAAACTTGTCTTATGAAAGGAGACTCAGGGAGCTTGGCTTGTTTAGCCTAACTAAAAGAAGGTTGAGGGGAGATATGATTGCTCTCTATAAATATATCAGAGGGATAAATACCAGAGAGGGAGAGGAATTATTTAAACTCAGTACCAATGTGGACACAAGAACAAATGGATATAAACTGGCCACTAGGAAATTTAGATTAGAAATTAGACGAAGGTTTCTAACCATCAGAGGAGTGAAGTTTTGGAATAGCCTTCCGAGGGAAGTAGTGGGGGCAAAAGATCTATCTTGCTTTAAGATTAAACTCGATAAGTTTATGGAGGAGATGGTATGATGGGATAACATGGTTTTGGTAATTAAATGTTCATGGTAAATAGACCCAATGGCCTGTGATGGGTTTTTAGATGGGGTAAGATCCAAGTTACCCAGGAAAGAATTTTCTGTAGTATCTGGCTGATGAATCTTGCCCATATGCTCAGGGTTTAGCTGATCGCCATATTTGGGGTCGGGAAGGAATTTTT